AGCAAGGAGGGGCCGGGGGACACTCAGGGGAGGCATGGGGGGGCAGCAGGTGGGGCCAGGGCGGAGACCTGGCCCCAAATATTGCTGGAGCTGGGCCCCTGGGCTCCGAATATTGCTGGTGCCCGAGCACCACATGGGTATATAACTTGCCGTCCATGGATGCAAGAACTCAAGTACTCTGTCACCATGCTCCTAATCTTGTTCTCTTGCAAAAATGTAGAAGAGGAAACTGCCATCCCCCTGGAAGTTAACACAATCTACTGTACATTATGATGAATTCTCAGCATATACATTATTCTCCTCAAAAACAACAAGGAGTCCGGTGGCACCTTAAAGACAGATTTATTTGGGCATAAGCTTTCGTGGGTAAAAAACCTCACTTATTATTCTTTTCAGAAATCTGCAGTTTCACCTTCCTTTATCAGTAGAGACTGAAAATCTCTAAGATTTAGACCTTATTTTTTCCTTTGAAACTTAACCAACGGCGTTTTGATTCTGACTTTCTGGCCTATAGCAAGAACATCATTCTGATGAAAACTGACTTTTTGCTTCTGGAAATTTCCAGAAGGATGGGGGTTTGCAAAAGAGAGTGTACACACAATGCACTTCAATTTTTGAATAGTCTAATAAAAGATTATCTGAATGTTGTAAACTTCTATAAATTATTTTTATGGTTGCAAAGATAGGCTCTGATCCTGGAAACAGTTTACACACATGCTTCATTTTACACATCTGAGTACACATTTGACTCAGCGGACTTCTCAAATGTATAAAATTAAGCACATGCTTAACTTTCTGCTGCAGGATTGGAGCTTCAGTTTTTAGCACATCAGAACTTTTTCACTCCGGCAACAGTTTTTGAGTTGGAATAAAATGAAATTATTGACTCTACCTTTACCTGACTGAAGAATTAGAGTCTCAAGTGACCTATCACTCCTTTTGTTTTCCTCCAGTGTCTGAACCAGAGACTTCAACAATGGAATCAGTTTTCGATGGATGACTGCGCATGTGCCGTGGGGGACACCAGCAATACCATAAAATCTGGTCCCTTGGTAGTTTTCAAAGCATTGTGATGTCCCAGAGAGAAGCGCCTGAAATAGCACAGATCAGACAAAGACTTGCTGTTCACATGTGAGTCATTAATACCACTGGAAATGCAGCTTATCACTCTTAATATTTCCATGCAACCCTTGTACATGCAAATCAGTTTATAACAGGACTAGGAGGTGTGCACTGTGCTACAAGCTTGCCTAATCACAAATAGTTTGGGGATTCCTAATGAGTGTATGGGTGGGTGGTAACGGGCCCACAGCTCCCATCTCTTTAAACTGTCCACATTCCTGAAGCTTCTGTAAAGGGTTTTAAGACAAAAAATAAATTACTTTTATTTCACGTGTTTAATGTCTCCAGTTTATGTGGGATGCATTTGCAAGTGCCATATACATGGTCAATCTCTCCCTCTCCAACCCTGCAGTATAATAACCTTATTTCATTGAGAGTAATAAGCTGGAGTTCAGCTATAGATGTCGGTGACAGACTCATGGGGAGTGAAAAGAAGCTGAGATGTGGGGGAAGGGGAACTTCAGGAGACCAAACATCATAAGGCATTTTGAAGTAAGAGAAAGAGAAGAGGGGAGGTGTTCAGACATGACCACCCTGATAACTCCAGTGATCTTTTTTTTTTTTTACCAAAGTAGCCTAAAATAG